TAAGAAAGCTCTACTCTCATTTTCTTCAGTTAAGCTGTATGTGAAAGCCATTTGCTACCACAAGCAAGAAAGTGCCCATCTAGTTGTTTGGTCTGAATATACCCATACAGTTGCTGGTTCAGCTCAGGTGGAAAGTTCTTTGTACCTTTTTGTTTTGGCTTCAGCTTTAGTTGCACCTTGTTGAAACTTTAAGATCAATGCTTCAGTCACTGTTAATTGTTTGGGTTTTTATCATAGGCACCTGTTCGGAATCCAGAGCAGTTCAGGGCTCTTGGCCTGACTGCTCCAGCTGGTGTACTACTTGCGGGGCCTCCTGGATGTGGAAAAACATTACTGGCCAAGGTAGGAATTGCCTACTGTGTATGCTTCATGTGAATACTGGGAGGTAGTAGAGTACCCTAAGGAAGAAGTCAGATTTCTTTCATAAGAATGACTTGGTGACATCCAATGGTAGATTGCTTCATTGGGGTGATGGCAATAGGAGTCAAGCCCTCATACTGCTTTTAGCAGGAGCTTGAGTTAAAAAAAAAAATTAAAAATTAAATTTAAAAAAAGTCTTTTGAAGTTAATTGATTTCCCAGTAAAATAGTTCCGTTTCATGTGAGGTGAGAAGGAAGAAAGGTAAAGTCAGAAAGAATGCAATAGGTTGAAAAATAATAAAGTGGTGAAAAGGAAATGGCTCCTTTCTACAGATCTATCACTTTGAAGTTGTCTACTGTAATTAAAAGCTGTAGTTGTCCACTAAAGACCAGGTCCACTTTACCATTTATTCCCAATGCTCCTGGAACAATGCACTTATTGCTTTCCTCCTTAACTTGCATATTTCCTTGAATTTCTAGACCAACTCTTGTGTTTGGTCTTTAAGGACTGTTTATGTGATGACATTTCTCTGTAATGTGCACTAGTCATTTAGAGTTGCTTTTAAAAGCATTTCTGGAACAGGACCTCAGTTAAAAAAAAGCTGTGGGAAGCAGTGTTGAATGAATGAATTAGTATCTGGGCATGGGTCTGGGCTCCTAAAGAGCTTCATATATTTTGAGAGGGGTTTGATAAATAATCTTTTCTTTTGAGTTCTTCATAAATCAATGAATAGAAAAGAAAATGACCTTTTTCATAGTGCATCTGGAATCTTGCCAGAGTTTTCAAGAAAAGAAAATAGATAATGCTCTTAAAATGATGCTTCAGGAAGTCTGGTGAATGGAAGCCTAATATTATCAGTGTGTGATAGTGGATTTTTTTTTTTATTTTCTGGATAGGCTGTGGCAAATGAGTCTGGGCTGAACTTCATCTCTGTGAAAGGTCCAGAACTGTTAAATATGGTAAGTGTTGATCATTATACCTTGACCTTTACTATTTTGACTGAGTTCTTTGTGCAGTTTGAGGCAATTGAATCCTGATGATCACTAAGCTGGTGTTTTGTGCAACAAGAATACATCATGTAATATCATCTTAATTGTAATAGCTCTTATAGCAGCCAGGTTGCTCTCAAAGGATGCATTTAGGTGGCATAGATCTTACCCAGTTCAATCTGCCTCTTGTGGTGCATCCTCTCTTAAAGTGGTAATCCTCTTTTAAGGATTAGAGACTGTGGGGATTGCTTGATTTGCATAGTAAGACTTTTGAAGTAACTAGCTGTTTGCCTCGTTGTTAGTGTGTGCTGTGAGGACAAAGGGCAACATTTTCAAGTCAAATTAAAATTTTCAAATAGTGATGGCTTCAGGACTTGGCACCTCTGAAAATCAAATCAGGTACCTAAAACAACTCTAAATTAACTTTAGGTGATTTAAGTTTGGGGTTAGATTTTGCTAAAGTTTTCCATCGACTTTATCAGGGTCTAAACCTCAGAAAAGATGCTACTCTTCAGAATGTTTAAAAGTCATTTATTGTGATCAGTCACAAGTGATAAGTGTTATGATTTAAGGTAAGTCCTCGACTTAAAAATATCATTTTTATTACACTTTGATATTTTCCCACACCTTTTTACAGTTTAAGAAATGTGCAAGGTGATCAAAATGATTTTACTTCTGCTGCTCAGATTCAGATTGGAGCATATCACTTACCTGTTTTAGTAAATGGGTGAAACTGAAGCCAAAAAAAATGGATTTGATCCATTTTTTTAGTTAGTGCAGATCCCTGCCTCCTTAAATTCAAAGGGAACCGATTTCTGGACTCTGAGAATAGAGAGACAAAGCACATTAATGGTAAATGAATGCTGTCTGTGGGGTGACAAAATTTTCCATTTGCAAATCAAGTGAGGCTTTTTCCCTTGTGTAATGACTTTCTGAGGGAAGAAACTCTTTATTTCAATTCTTTCTACATAGTTCTGTTTATGAGCTTCTGCAGATGTGAATCTGTGGGTGCCTCGGATATTTAAAAAGCTTAACTAAGGTCATGGAGAGGAATATAACTGTTAACTCTCTTTGTCAGTATGGTGGCAGATATTAATTCCCCTAAAAGGTAGAGCCTTACCAATTTGGCACTGACACTGCGCTGCATGCAACAACTTAACAGTTGTGAACTGGGTAGTGACACATGCATCCAAATTTGCCCTTTTCCCCCTCCAAAATAAAAACTATGGGTTTAAATTGATGATAAACTTGGCAGAATTAAATGGAGTAAATAAAAGTATGTGATCCTTTGGCCTTGGCAGGCACCACCAATTATGGGTTAAATTGGATTATGAAGCAAAAGTTTGATATCTTGGATTGTTCCCACCGTGTTGCTGTATTATTTCAGTATGTCGGTGAAAGTGAGCGTGCTGTACGTCAGGTATTTCAGAGGGCCAGGAATTCTGCTCCTTGTGTTATATTTTTTGATGAAGTGGATGCATTGTGTCCCCGGAGGTCAGATCGCGAGGTAAGCCTGAAATCATAATCCCACAAGTTACTTTAATCAGATCTTTCTTTTGTGTCCTGCTACTGTTGGACACATAATGTGGCCTGGATTGTAGCCTTGGTAAGGACTTCTTCTATGGTGTACTCTCTTCTAGAAGCTGGAAGACTAACATATGTTCCATGGTCACTGCAGTCACATGCATTAAGGCTGTTTAGAGTAACATCACTCCCAGATGTTGCCTTTTGACCATCTGACTTTTGGTGAAGGACAGACAGTTTAAATATGTCTATGGTGATCAAGTCTGTTCTGCACCTCTGGGGATGTTTGGTGATGTTTCTTCATTTTGATATCCTCTTTGAGCATGTTGAGTTGTGCACATCACACTTCCTCGTTATTCAGATATGAGTTTTAAGTATGCTTGCATTTAAACTTCTAAATATTTTCTCTTCCCACTGGCCCCTTCACTCACAGGTGCCATGTAAATCTTCCATCTCCTAAAAACAATAGTCCTAGTGCAAAATTGTCACAAACTTGAACCAAAAGATAGAAATACTAGTACTAAGTTTGTAATTGGGTATGATTTTGGCCTCTACAAATGTCTGTGCTCATGTGTATAATCAAAAGGGCCCCTGGGTATGGAAAACTCCTCTACATTAATCATGTGTATGGTGGCTATAACAGTTCTTGTCAATGTAAAGCCATAATAAAATTGGGTGCAATTCAGCGCAGTTATTAACATCATATGATAATCTTGCCCAATAGTACCCAATATAGGCTGTGGGCTGGATCCAGCCTGCAAAGTAAGGTAATCCAGTCATCTGACCCATGGGGCTTTCTATGGGTTTGGAAACTTGGTGGCAGGAGAGAGGTGGCAACATTGATTCTGCAGCTCCAGGAGCTGCAAAGATCAGAAAGGTCAAGCACCATTGATCTAGCCCATATAGTTCAAACACTATCCCAGTATTTTACAATCAAATTTAAATGTGATTTTAAGTTCAAGGTGCCAAATTACTTTTGTTGTTCTCTAAACTGAATTTACGCACAAACTAGGACTAAGAGTTATCCTAATGATCTTTTCTTTGTGGTTAGAAATCTAGAAGCTCAACAAATGACCCAAAATATATATTATTTTATAAGAGATTAAATGAGTTAGTTCTTCTCTTAAAAAAATGAAATAAAGAAATAAGGTCACCTACCATATTTATCTGAATCCAAGATGACTTCCAATTGAAGATAACCCCCCTAAATTAGATTCTATACATAGAAAACTATAAATATGTTGTAATTCTCCATGTGTAGAATATAATTATTGGATGTTCATCTCAAAATCTCAGATTTGTCCATTTTCCCCCCTCCCAATGCTGCAGCAGGTAAAGCAGTGGCAAGGGGGAGGCAGCTTGTCCCTGGTCCTTTGTCCCATCCCCCCTCAACCCTTGCACCTACCCTTCCCCCAGTGCTTGCCCCTGTCACTGTGTCCCACTGTGCCCTGGGTCCCTTGGCACCCTGTACCACTACCTTGCACTGGGTTCTGCATTGCCCCACACCTCACAGAGTGGATTTCTGCTGCTGCTTCTACACTTCACTTGACTCTTGATTCTAAGACTAAGCTTTGGTGTTCAGACCTGCCACCTTTTTAAAAAAAAAAAAAAAAAAAAATCTGTGCCACTGCCAAGAATTCTTCAAACACCCTCTTGTTAGGCATGTCAGGCATGCTTTCACATTATTTGTAAACTGCAAGTAGGGGGCTTTGGGGGCAGTTGCAGTATCTGCAATAAGAGAGGTAGGAGTTTGAATAACTGTCTGAAGCACAGCCTTATCACCTTCACAATATACAGAAACCTCTACTTCTGTAAAGTCCACCCTGGCTGATGAGCTCTGTACCCTGTGAATGTTGCATATGGCCCACAAGGAATTAGCTTACAGCCCCCAAGCTCCCAGTTTGATCACCAGTCCCCTTCATTACTTTGCTGCAAGGGACTTCAGGCTTCTTCCACCTCTTCCAGCTTCCAGGGGTGGGACAGGGCAGTGCAGTTTGCAGGACCCAGGGAACTTTGGGCAGGGGACCCGTGTGATGTGGTGTAGCTCAACCATGTGTGCACCTACTGCACATCCCAGTGGAGGAGTGGCAAGGGAGGGGGGCATTGCTATATGACCCAGGGACCATGCAGCCCCTGGATGCTCAGAAGTTGGATAGCCCTGCTATAGAGCAAGAATTTGGGGCCAGTAATCCAATTTCAAAAGTGAAGCTATGACTAACCATTTGATTACTCCAATTTTACAGTGGTATAGAGTCATTAATGCTGGTTAAGTTATACAGGCTTAAAACTGGAGTTAATGTAGTGATGAAGCAGACTTTATTGCTGCACTGTTACCTCAGTATCACAATAAAAACGGCTTGTCCTGTAAATACTGCACTGAATTGACAATGTATCAGAGTTATGATCCTTATGGTGCATAGTTGGGATTCATACGATCTTCTGTGTGATCTAGTCACGTTTACGGTAACGTGTGTACATCTCCACTATTTGATCTGATTAGCAGTTGAATCTGAAGAGGTTGTTCAATTATTTATATTTAATTACAGAATAAATATATAACTTTTAACAAAGCAACAAAGGCATGTGCTAAACTGTCAAGCAGTCTCTCATTTGTAATTGTGTTCTTGCCAGCTCATTTCTTTGTCAAGAATTTGGCTAATCCAACAGCACATCTTTATGGGCTGGCAACCTGACTCTTGCAAGCCACAAATTTCAGTAGGATTTCACTCTTTTAAATGTTAAACAAGGCTGATGTGTGCTCTCTGGAATCTGACACACAGATCTTGGAACTATAAAGCCTATGATAAGTGGACACCTTTACAGTGGAGTTCAGAACAATCCAGTTGCTTACCTTTGTAGGATGCATCTGTATTGGGATTGTTAAAATATAATTATAAGTTGCTGCTCAGTAGATAAGGCCAGTGAATGGGATTTTATTCAGTTTGAATGTTTAAATGACTGGTCAGGGTCCGCAAAGCTTGGGCGAGTTTCTATCATTTATTTATGAATTAAAAGGTAATAAGTAGGCAAGCCAAACACAGGATTGCAAATGGTTCAAGTAGCTGGAATGTTTCCCAGAAATATGAGTCTCTGCACTTGTCACAGACTATTAAGAAAGCTGTGCCAGTATAAATATGGCCTCAATACATGAAGTTGGGGTTAGTGAACGAGAAGCCAATGGCAGTGGTCAAGAATGAAGTTTGATCAGGGTGCAGAGAGAGGAAGGTGATCTTTGAGTAGCGATCAAGGGGGGTAATAAATGCTGTGGGTTGCGGGGGGGGAGTTCATACCCAAATGATTGACAGTTGTTTTCCCAATTTAACTGAGAATGCATTACTGTTTTAAAGGCAGGTGCTAGTGTTCGTGTGGTGAACCAGTTATTAACTGAGATGGATGGTCTGGAAAATCGTCAACAGGTTTTCATTATGGCTGCCACCAACAGGCCAGGTAAGAACCCAAAAACCAGTGAAATCTTCTTTTACTTAGACTCAAGCTTAGGAATATATTTAAAAACAACCACCTATACTTCGTGTTACTAAGGAATCTCAGCTTATAACTGAGAGATCTTTTAAAATTCAGCTCTTCATTCATGTTTACATGACCTTTATTTTTCTCTCATCTTGGACAATGGAACAGTTCTAGCATAGTAATAGAGTGTTTGCAAATACTGTAGGGAATGTTTAAATTCAAATAAACTGTTTCATAAAGAAGTCAAAATGTCTTTTCTCTGTCAAGGCTACTTAAAAGTTACCTTTTATTTGCATGACCGGATTTGATGGTTAAACTATTTAACTACAACTTGTAAAGCAAATATGATGTGTTGTTTCTGTTCTTTTGCATCTCCAATATTCAAGTAAGTTCAGATGACATTTGGGCAAAATTTCTGTATATTCAAAGTGTATAGTCACTTCAGAGTAAGGCTCTGGCATACAGCAAGCATGTAAAGTGTATTCCAGTTTCTCATAATTGACAGGGTGTGAAGTGAAGTAACTTGAGGTCAGCTGGGAGCTGATTGGCATAAATTCATGAAAAGATTCCATTGACTTCACTGGTTTTGGATTAAACCCTTGGAATTTCAAAATAAATCTGAAAATGAGGTGTTACATGTTCATTTTTGGTTGCTTTGCTTGCTGTTCATCGGTGTAGTTTTAGCTGCTAGATCATTAGCAAAAAAGTTAATGATTTGCATTTAACTTCTCATACACCTTTCTCTAGCACTTCTCTGCTTCCCTAAAAATCTTCTGCTGAACAC